TGGGAGGGGGCTGGTACAGCTGGCTCTGCCTCTAGATAGGCAGAGCCAGCTGTCACTCACGCAGCTGGGCGGATCAAGACAGAATTGTCGGGATCCGCTTCAGCTGCGGCGTCTCAGTATACCGCGAGCTGTAGCTCGCGGTATACGGAGCTTAGGGTGACGGGAGGACGCTAGTTTGTGTCCTCCCGTTACCCTAAGGAGAACTATGGGGAAAAGCCTTAACCCCATAGTTCTCCTTTAAGTCAAACATCAATATTAACATCTTTTTAAGATATCCTGGTAACTAATACAAAAAATATAATATTGTTTATTGTTAATGAAATGTCAAATTGAAGGGGCCTCAAGTCAGAATAACCAGAGGCACTAGAAGCAAATGTTTCTGATCTATTCTGGATTGCATAATGATGTCATCACTCAGTACTTGACAACATCCTGCCTGCTAAGTGATAATGACACATAGTGGACTGGGTAAACATCCACTGCACTTTATCAGAGGATATAGCAAGTAATGCATATTTGTAAGCATTCCCCCAATGTAGAATTCTTACATAAATAAATGTACTGACAAGCCAACCCTTGAGAAAGTGCTGCATTTTTTTGTTTCTCATTAATGTCTTTATGCTAAATGAAACATCTAAGGCATCTTGTTGGTCAAGTGGATGAAATCCATCAACACTGTTACCTTCAGCCCATGTAGTGATATATTAAGTGAATTATAACTACCTTGAGCAGTGATTCCTGGATTTAGTAGTAAGCCCTTCATAGTACAATTCAACTCAGAGCTTCCTACTGTTTGTCTGACTTCCATATAAAGTCAAAATTTGGGCATCCCCCTCCAATGGAGGTACTTTCTGCTTTATTTTTATACTTACCTTTTCCAGGCATCTTCATGCTGTTTGTGTGATGCACAGGGTTCTCTTTCTCTTCTCTGGAGGTGGTCAATTCTCAATGATGTAGAAAGCTGCACGGATGTTATCATTACACTGAGGGCAGTGTGTCTTACGGGCAGGTCTAAGATGCTGGGCACTTTCTTGTCTGCAGTCTTATGGTTTGTGAGCAGGTTCACACCATTTTCCAGTCCAAATCTGGTCTGCCCGCAGTTCCAGTGCATTCCAGACCAGACAAAATGAGACATGTAGTATTTTTCTGGCCTGGTCTGGAACGGACTGCGCTGGTGTGAACAGAGGCCAGAAATAGCATAGAGATACATTAGGATGCATTTTGGGTCCGAAAAGCAATCTGGTCTGGTCTGGAGATGATCTGGATGTGGTGTGAATGGGCCCTGAATGGAGCAGGACATAATTTGTGTGAGGTGGGTATTGCAGCCAGAGCTGGTTTTACTTAACACCTCAAGTTGACTAATTTTTTTATTTTCTCAGAGGTTGATTTTAATAATTCTGAGCCTCTTAAGTCCCCTTACTTAAAAAATCATGGCTTCTGTGGAGTAGGGCTCGGGACCCAATAGGACAGTATAACCTTACAGGGTATGATAAGAAGGAACTTAATCAATCAAAAACCCTCTAAATGTATCAGTGCATAGAACAGTACAGTACAGTTTCCTTAGGACATAAAGTTCTCACATTAGTCATACCACCTAGGGCAAGCTAAGGTAACTCCCGCACATGCCCACAGCAGTAACTGTTTTGGCAATAGCCCACTATATACTGAGCTTTGGCTCATGGGTGGAGGTTAGTATATGTCCTCCCGTGACCCTAAAGAGAACTATGGGGAAAAACACTTATCCCATAGTTCTCTTTTAACTTCCACTTTAAAGCCTATTGTACTATTTGAAACCCTAATAACCACACTAATTTCACCTTCTCTATTGACTAGAATTAATTCTGCTAAAATAGTGAAATTTTACCATAATCTCCACATTTTTGCCAACAATTTCATCACTACTTAACATCCATATCAAGGCACATGAGGGAGGATATGTTGTTGTGGTTGAGAAATTGTTTAATGGGTTTGGGGTCCTATGCATGATTTGTATTTGATCCATTGGTAGTGTTGCTATTTTTGTTACAGTTTGTCTGGCTTATTTATAAATCGCTCCTGGGGTCTATCTTGTGTGGAGTGCTACACACATCTTTCTTTTTAGCAATAAAAACAACCTTTCCATATCCAAACCCTATTAAAAATGTATTGTTTATGAAAACAGGCTGTAGTGGAAATTTAATCTAAATTAACAAATTTGCCTAGCAAATAGAGCTGACTTATTTAATTCACCAATATTGTTTGGTAAAAATATGTCCCTAGCAGTTGACTTGATGAATTTCTAATTTTTTTGATCAAAGGCAGGTTTAATCAAGGTTGTAAACCCATATTTCGTGGATATTTATATGTTTCACATATTTAATGGGCAACCTGGATTTATCTGAATTCTATTAACGGACTGTCCATAAATATCTGGACATTTAGGAACCATGAGGCTCATTTATGATAAAGGGAAATTTATATTACACAAGTAAGTTGAGGGTGGGCAGTGTCTACTGCTTTAGAGTAAAAAATGAAAGTATACCATGTACATGGGTTCAGGAGCTCTGCCAAGGGATTTAAGTGGCAGAAGTTGAGATTATTGTTTTTTCAGGAATTGCTCTATAGGCTGCTGATTGTGGAGCTACCTAAATGGATTCTGAATGAGGTCCGGTCAGTTGCATCTGCAACCACTATTATCAATTACATCTCTAACTGAGATTTTAAATGCAGTTCGGTTTATATGATCTATTCTGCTGAGTTTTCATTGCTTAAAGAATAAGTGCACTTTTATACAAAGTGCACTTATCCTTTCTGCTGCCATCAACTGACCGGAAGTAACACAACCTCTCCACCTCAGGTGTATACCTAATCTACAGGATATACAGTATGTGGGTGTTGACATCTACGGGCGTTGACAGTTGTGACCAAAACCTTCTTTGTGTTGGCTGCCCCTGATATTTGATGCCCATAGATTTAGGGGAGAATCTCATGCCATAGTAGTCCATGGGGACTCTCCAGCACTGCTGCGGGTCTCCGATCCAGCGCTGACTCCTCTGTTCTTGCTGGCACTTCCTGTGCCACGGTGTCTGCATGCGGGTGCACGACGTCCATATACTTACCTTGTGTTTCTCCTCGTCTCCCGGCCGAAAATGTGAACTGTGCATGCGCCCACCCCAAGATGATTTGCGGCCGCCCGAGAATTTTCACATTTTCGGACGGGAGCGCGCGGGGAAGACACAGGTAAAAAAAAAAAGTTTACACTTTTTGCATATATCTACTGCTTGCCAGCAGTTGATATATACAAAAACATCGGAGGGTTTAATAACCCTTTAAGGCATTTTGATTTTTGCATAACTCCTCCCAACCGGCAGACCCCTGCTTGCATCAGGGCTGAGGGATCTTGAAGGGAGTAATGAGACAGGGTGATGTGATTTTTCCAGGAGGCAGTACCTTGCTGGCCCCTTAAACTATGATCTGCCTGCACTGCATAGAGAAGCACACAGAAGCAATAAAGATGTCACTGGGACTTAATTAAGGTATGTAATGAAAATGGAAATGTTTTACTGAAGATTTTCATTTGCATGTTGATGAAGGGAAGGAAGGAACCAGGGAATGCAGAATATACACAGATTTTCCTTTAGCTGTATTTTCTTGTTACAAACACAAACACTCTTTTCTCCAGAGCATTTGTGTTTATACAGTAAGCAAAAACCCTAAGCGTCCGTCTAATCTGGGGGGAATATTAGCAATTCCCTGATAAAATCTACTGGTAGGTCCGTTCAAGTGTCTCCTTCAAAGTCCAAAAACAGAAATGGCTCTGTTAAACTTCATGAAACTTACTTGTTTAGTGAAAGGTCAAGGATAAACTTGGATCCAAAGGCTTCTATCTGGAAACTGGCTTGAGCAAGATGCACAGCCTGTAAGAAGAAAATCAAATATAATTACACTTCTATTTGCAGTTATGAAACATACTCAGAGGGCATACAGTACCAAATATTGTTTTAACATTTATTTTCTGTAGATTAACATCCCTCTAATTGTATTCCATATTTTATTTTACTCTTTTTAATTGGGGAAATGAAAGAATCATGGAATCTTCCAAACAGCTCTTAACCCACCATGGTTCTGGCACCTGGGAGAAGTGCATGAGCAAGATAGGGTCCATATCTACAATAGATGTTATTTTATATTTAATGTATTGGTCAGTTAAAGTAAACCTTCTTCGAGAATCAATCAGTCAGTTTCCAGAGGAATGTTACAGTGTAATACAGCCCAATGCTTTATGAAAATATATTAGAGGTGGAAATAAATAAGTGCTAGAATTGCTTGTGTCTACTGCGCAATAACACCTTCATGATTAGCCATTTTCCATAATTCTGTATATAAACATTTCTCCAGCATAGCTGGTGGCTTTCAATCCTGGCTGTCACTGACAGTTCATATCACTGCTGATTGTGAACTTATCAAAGTGATTCCGATCATTAGATCATTATACACAACAGTGATCACATGCAGGCTAGAGGCATCAATCTACAAATAAAAGTTACCTTTTGGCTGCACTGACATGCGCAGTGCCATCTATTTAATACTGTTATTATCAAATACAGAAGTATTTGTAGACTACATGAAAACTTTTTTCCATTGTTGCACAGTTTAAGCTTTTAAACAGTGTAACAAATACAAGTCTTATATGTTCTTACAAAATGATTCAGGTACGAAAATTAGTCAAATTAAAGTGTATGTATACAATAGCTAAAAAGTTTTTGTCGTTTTGAATAAAGAATGGGTGGATTAGAATCCCTGTTAAAGGGACACTAAACGAAGGAGTTAAATCTTAAAAGTGCATTCAAGTACCTTAACTATTAACATAAATGTAGTAATAAGATTATGTTCAAGAGGGGAAGGTCCTACAGCCACACACATAAAGCAATATATGGACAAAAGAGACAGTTCCAAAGCCAAAAGACTGAAGGCTGGGTTAGTCACTCAGCTGCCTTGGGAAGTTTTGTGAATAACCCACTTAGTAAAATAAATGTGAGATTGTAGTTCTTTTCAGGAGTGAGCTTGGAGCAGTGGTTACGTAATAACACACACAGGGACCATGGGGAACAAAAGTAGCCACCCTCCCAAAGAAATGACAGTATCAGCACTAATTTAGAGATGATTTGAGGATCTACAGTTGGGTAATAAACAAAACAGGTAACTTTTTGTCAATAGTTAAGGTACTTTGATGCATTTTTAAGATTGAACTTCTGAGTTTAGTGTTACTTTAAGCTTTTATTGCTCTCTATATCTCAGATAGGTGGCTTCACTCTCTGTCCTGGTGACAAATCAAAACAGAAAGTGATGGGAAATCCAAAATTATAGGGTTCCCACCCGAACAAGGGGGTTTAATCTTCTTACTTATTCCCCTCACTACTTACAGAGATTTCGGGGGTGATTTACTAACCTAAACACACGCACGCACTAGGTGCGTGTGATTTTTACACAGCAAAACGTATTTATCTACCAAAAAGTCTCTAAAAGCATATTTCCACTAATGCCATATATGGAAAATTCATGCACATGATGCATATATAATGCTGCTTCACAGTTTAGACAAAAATGGTTAGCTCATGCATTTACATTCCTGCATTCATCAACGCAAGCAACACAATGTAGAGCTAATTTACACAACATCACCTTGCAATTCATGCAGGGCTTTGCACAACACACCTGCTGGGTGTGTACACACTACAAAGGTGTCTAGATTCCACCAATAGATCATGCTGGGAGGGAACACACTACAGAGGTGTATACTTGTTTGTGGCATGTTTATAAGGTTAGTAAATCAACCCCTTCATCTCACTTACTGTTGTATCTACAGGATACGAAGCAGAGGGAAACTTCCCCAATAGAACACAAACCGCAAAACATAAATAAATATAGGTTTTAAAAATCTCCTACTCTATCCAAAACTAAATAAAATATCCTTTACGTAAACTTTAACAGATGCATTCCAAAGTAAAAACAATATGTAATTTGTCTATACTTGCTGTACAACACCATGATTCTTTCTAACATGTAACAGATTCAGTTTACACTCAATACATTTATTCCACCAAAGAGAAATATGCAGTGAAGACTAAACCAATTTGTCACAATAAATGGAAGAAAAAAAACCTATATCTAGGTATTATCTGATCATACTATAGCGTGAATGCTCTAAATATTATTCTAATCAACTGACACAGGAGATAATCCATGTGCTGATGAAGTCTAGAAGACTAGTAAATGGCGGCACTTTGAGGTACAGCTTATGATGATGTGGATCAAGTTCTAAGTTACATAGTTCAAAGAGTTTGGATAGGTCACAGCCAACTTACAACTCACAGTTGTTCAAAAGAGTCTCTTAGGTTCTACAACAGTGGCCTGATGCCCAGAAACCAAGATCACATGTGACATATGAATACTGGCACAACAACAAATACTTCTGCATTACCAATGAGATCATTCTTTCTTCAATATGTCACATCAAGCAAAAATGCCAAACAATGGTTAGATCTATGTGAATAATGCCAACAAATCTTCAGAACCAAAGTAATTAGAAAAGACATCAAACGTGCATGTAAATATAAAGTGTATTTCCAGCCAGAACTTTTTTTTTAATGTTGGATAGAGAGGGAAAGGGATAGAACCACTGTCAGGTTTTTATTGCTCTCTTTGACTCTGCTGGCAAGAATCATCCTCTCTGTTTTGAGACCCTTGTCAATGTCACACAAAGTAGGAGGTATTTCAAAATGTCATGGTGGTTACCAGAAGAGGAAGTGAAAAAAAATCTTCCAATGGGATTGCCTCTCACTTTGGAGAGATTTCCTCTCATTTCCTGTTGGATTAGTAAGGCAGGAGAGACCTCCCCAAAGGGATACAGACAGCAGAAAAAAAAACAATAGTCTAACTATTCCCTATTCTGTTTGAAGGAGAACTACTGTATGAGGTGAGTGCTTTTCACTCACCTCATAGTTCTAGCCGACCTGTGACAATGAGACTGTCACATGTCGGCTCGGTAAATCGAAAAGTGGGCGAGCACATACCAGCGTTCGCTCACCGTTTGATCCTGCCACTGCTCTCTGCCGTGACAGGGGAGGGGCTGGATTCCCCCCTCCTCGATCCACCAGCGCTGACTGGCGGATCGGACGGGGGAGGTGGCGGGTAGAGCTGGCTCTGCCTCTAGATAGGCAGAGCAAGCTGTCACTCACGCAGTGGGGCGGATCCAGACATAATTGTCGGGATCCGCTTCAGCTGCGGCGTTTCAGTATACCGTGAGCTGCGGCGCCCCATGTATGTGTTGTAAAGTAGCCACCAATCCAAACTCCAAGCTTTGCAGACTTGGAGACTGCGGACAGCACAGCATTTGCATTATGGTGCACTTCCGAAGGGATCTGTAACACTTACTTATGCATTAGAGTGCCATTCTGAATTAATGGTACCACAATTGCTGTGTGCTGTGCATTGTGGTATTGTGCAGTAAAATGCAAATTGTACCACTCATTTCATGCATAGATGTGAAGCCAGCCTAAAACAACTGTATTTTTTTTATACAATAAGATTTTATTTGGTTTCAGATATAATATAACAACATTGATACAGGAAAGCCTTATTTCATATATCCTTATACATCTATCTCCATATATATATATACATACATGTATATCTATGTCTAATATACATCCCTTTATTTCCAAGACTTATCTATAACAGAAATCTTTATATGTGCCCCCCCTCTCTCCCTCCCCCCCCCTCTCTCTCTCTCTCT